CCGAGTGGTGGTAAGGCATTTAGAAATCTGTGCTGATACTAAATTATTCAGCACAGTTTGGCCTGCAATATGTGGCACCTGCAATGAATCATCCTCTGATTTCACAACGCACAATGAAACAGGCTTCAAGGCGCTAGGAAGACAAGCTCCCGGCAGAAAATGACCTGGTTAGAACAACGTGGCGACGGTGACAAGGACAGCAGACCCTGCGACTGCACGGGACTGAAGCTCGATTGAAGAAGTAGAATGATCCAGGCGTAATAATGACGAGCTCAAGTTCATATGATGGCATTACGCACAGCGGATGGAGGGATTTTTGCACGGCAGAGCTCAACCACGCTATCCACCACAGTCGTGCAAGGGCAGTAGTTGTATTCAGCTCTACCTTTCTGTTGTCGAAACTGCCGTGTTGGTAAGCCTACAATTTTTCAGAAGATTTTGTCAACTTTTGCAGCAGGTGTGAGGTTTGTTGACGGTTTGTTCACACTTAGCAAGACGGGACAGTCAGGCGAGTTATTGGCGGAAGTCTTAGTCATACAAATCCATCAATGTACAATTCGTCGCACGACTTTTGCGTCCACCGCAGCCAACAGCGCATCGCAATATCCGCTGCAAGTTTTTGCGTGGACACGTTGCTACATATAATGTATAGGCCCCGTTGCGCAGTGTGGGCCAGATGACGGTCACTAAAGTGGACAGCATCGGGTTATAATAGGCATGTTATGGGTTGCATTGGTTCCAAAAGGACTACGAGGTTCCTAGCGTGAAGAAGCAGAAGCCATTCAAAGTAGCATCCGGAAAAGTGGCATGTGTGAGCGAGTAGTTTCGCTCATTTTACGCAGCTCCTGTGAAGAATTATTAATAATGTTTGCTCGGAATTCAATCGACTGAGACCCAGAGGCCAATATTCATGCCATTCGGAGTCTTTTTCGTAGGAATTCATCAACCTCGGTGACTTGGATTTTGGTGGAAAGGTAGTGAAAAGCATTGAAGAAGCCTCTATTGTTCCTATTATCCGGAACCCATCGTTGTGATCCCTATCCCTAATAATCAAGTATGCATATTCGCTGAAAGCAAAGTATAGCTTCCTACATATAGAATGATGAAGCGAGAAATCGTAGTATTTTCTTCTGTTAACACTTGCAGCAAAACGCTGCGCAGAGACTTCAATTCGAAGAAGCCATCGCCTGCATATTAGATGCAGCACCGAAAGCAGGGACGTTCTGAATGAAAGAACGACGAATTACAATGAACAAAGAGTTGAATCGCTCTCCCTAGTTGATACTGCTATTAATATCAAGGTGAATGCCCACCACGGAACGGTGCCCTGGGCCAGAAGTGGATAAAACAATAATAAATCTACACCGTGTGCAACTTAACGACCGAGAATTAAACGCAATTCATTTGTAGCCTGTGTTCTTTGGACAGTTGCCTTTATATGCTTTTTGTATTGTACTGGAGCAGTTCCTTCTAATTGTGGTTAGGTTCTATAGAGCTTTTTTTACTCGTCAGTAATATCTCACAGAAAAATTAGGTTCGTCCCTACGTTTTGCATAAAAGTGTATTTGCCACAATCAAAGGGCAAAGGTGAGGCCATACCTTTAGGGCTCTACTTCGGGTGGGTAACATCTCGGACGAAACGATTTGGCACTTCCCACTTGACCAACATGCGCGAATATGGTAACAAGTGGCAATGTGCAAGTTGACTGCGTATTTCCTGCATTTGCTTACGCGGACCATTAGCCACCAAATCACTAAAGTCTGTTCAGGCCACCCGGACGTTGCGGTAATCAATGCAGAACTTTACGCAGTCAGAGCCAACCAACCCTCTAGGGTAATTGGTACCAGGGTAGACTGGGGGAATAAAAGCACCGACTCGTACAATGGGGCCACCGCAAGTTATTGTGAAGGCTAAATTGCTTTAAGTTGGGTGTGATTCCAAATTGAAACATAATATCAGCAGCATGAAAGGGAAGATCGGGAACTTCATACCTTTCATTATTCTTTTTCTCCTTCAACGCACCGTTTCCTCCATAAGGCACTGCTATTAGAGCTCTCGTGTCAAGAACAGCAGCTAGGTTAAAGGGTGCGGATCAGTGATCACGAGTAGGGTCAACCGTCTGTCCGGTAGAACCAGACGAGGGCCATACTTAGGATCTTTCAGAGAAGATCTTGTTTGTGGAACCTGGGAGGGCCATGATTTTGGTAAAAAGTGAGTCGTCTCAGGCGAGCGAGCCTTTCCAACGAGTTTAGGGAAAACTTCCAGAAAGAAGTCTAAAATAAAAAAAGAAATAAATCACCTTGAGGCATATCTGCCTTACTCCATCCCCCTGTCCCTCCCGCCCTCGCTCGACGGGAGTTTGAGGGTGGAGCTAGTGTGTGTCGACTGGTGTCACTATATATGTAATATAGATAAATAGAAACATAAAGATGAAGGTGATGGGGGTGGTCGTAAAATTCTTGAAATCGGCCTGACGCCAGGGTTGACTCTTCAAAGAGTATATCCAATTAGACTGACTTTGAATGCACAAAGTGTAACATCTGATCTACCATGTCCGAAAATAAACTATTTGTCATTCGAACAAGTCAAGAAATTTCCGTGCTCAGGATATGTAAACTAAAGGCTAAATAAGAAAACAGTAGTCGTTTAGCTCACATTACTAAATTCTACATTACAGAAATTGAGCGATATTCTGGATCATCGCACAACGTACTATACTTATTTATTTATTTGTTTGTTTATTCATATTTATGTCTCTAAGTGGATGCCTTCAAAGAGCATTTGTTCAGTTGGTATTATGCTTCAGTGCTGTGGAAAATATTTATTATTTATAGGACACCGCCAAAGCCCAACCAGTATTTAGAAAAAAGCAGGTGCGCTCAACAGGATAGATCCGCTCAATCCATTTTCCCATTTTTGTCAATCAATTCTGGGAAACTAATTTGGAGGAACCGGATATTTACAGTTATGATTTTGGGAAGTGCAGCACGAGTTCGCAAAGGCCTAAAAGTGAATATGAGGGAAATGAACACAAGCATGGCAAACCTCGTGACATGATGAAATGAAGTACGATGGAGAAGGAAAATAAAGCGTTTACAATTAACTAAAGAGCAAAATTAAAAAGAAAAACTAATCAAAAAGAGGTGTCTCCTCAAACACAGAGACTAATGTGGAACAGCGACAGGAAGTCCGTCGAAGTTTTCTGATGACAACACAGAAAAGGAAATGTGAAGTGGATGAGAGACTTTGATGCGTAGGCCATTCTGCGCGGAGGGCTCGAATTGAGAGGAAGGGGTCAGCTAATCAGCAAATCTAGTGCAATCCCATTAGCGGCTTTCTGCCTAATGAATGAGCTCCTTTTAGTCAGAA